CAGAGTTTGAACACACCGGGTTGTGGAGTGTTCATACTGATTTCACGTCCATTTTCTGTATCCTTTGCGATGCACATCCCTGGGATATTCTTTTCCTCTTCGTCGAAAAGTTTTCCGACAATTTCCACATCATTAGGGGCCTGAAGTACTACTGTAGCTTGCCCGTTCTTTGATGTTATATTTTCGACGGGATCCACTAAGGACACTCCCCATGATTTAAACTCTTCCTCTAGAAGAGGAAATCCAGGGTTTTCATTTGCAGTTGCTAGTGACTTGATAGCATAGGAACAAAGAAGTTGCTTGGTTTTATCATCTTCTCTAAAGCCATAAATTTCCAATCGAAATATCCCAGGTTCTGGCATGTGAACTTTAATTGTTGTCTCGCCTTTYTGGGTCGGTTCCGTGAAGCACATACCCTCGCATTCCTCTTCGTTTTTTCTTAAAACACCAACAATGTTTACTTCATTGGGGTTTTTCAGAGTTACCGACGTCRCACCATCCTGTGTCTCTATGTTTTCTCGCTTGTCTACTAGTTGAATAGACCAGGACCGAAAGGTTTCGGTGACTTTAGGGAAGCCAGGCACAGGCCTTGCACCATGATAGGCATTGATGAAGTATGAACACAAGTACTCTACYTGTCTTCTCAGTTCACAATAAATGTCTAGTTTGTATATTCCCATTTGAGGGACGTGAACCTTCACTTTGAAAACAACTCCTGATTGATCGACGTAGCACATGCTCGAGTCTTGGACATCTTCTTGTAGGTCTTCAGTTCCASATATTATTGATAGACGTGACAGCTTTGGTCTTAATGTCCGTACTCTGTTATTAGTTGTGCTGAAATAGATCACTGCCTTACCATCATCACATTCAATGTTCTGTGTTGGTTTTTCGATCTCAAAACCAAGAGGGTAAAACTTCGTCCCAATACTTGGGAAGCCACCGGTGTTATACCCAATCCCGTCCGATGTGTGGATTTTGTACATGACACCCGATGTCCATTCATAGTTCACGCCAAGAACAAGCACTTGGAGAATATATTCTCCAGGTTCTGGGAAATATGCTTGTAGCTTGGTCTTYCCCCCGATAGAGACAGCTTGTACAAGGCTACGTTGGCCTAGGGATTTCCCATTGGARTCTTTGACAATACCTTTCAAAATRTTCTTCTTTGGTGTTTGAAAAGTCATGGTAATGTTGTCGGCATCGAGTTCATAGAAGCATTTAGTATGGCTATCTAACTGCACATTAAGACGATGCAWCATGGCGGAAGGTACAGCYTTTAATTCAAATTCTTCTTTGCTGATCGTCTCGTCAAGTAGTTGCCATTTCTGTTCGTCCGGATAGTGGTCGGTAATGGCGAGTTGTGCTGAWACCATAAAGCGATCGATGTTTGGTAATTTGTGGAACATCATATCCTCACCAACATAGCCAGCACCAAGTGTGCAATCACAGATGAACCAATCACCACTCACTCGTACCACGTTCCACGCGTGTCTACACTGACCCTCGAGTATAGGCTCGCCGAGTGTGTAACCATAGCCTTTGAAAATTCCACGAACGGTTCGAGTGGGGACGTGCGCTGCGTTGCACAGAGCTTCAAAAAGGTTTGCGTAACCTTCCGATGCAGTGACGCGATTTTGCAATACATCTTCTGCACCACAAGGCATTGGAGCKTCATAACCAAAACACCCCTTATAGTCAAAGGAAATATTTAGAGTAATCCAGCGATAAATAGCAAACGCTTTGCTTCTTTGTCCGCCTTCAAAAGGCTCYGTGAGATAATCACTCAGTCTGTTAATACTCGATGTCTCTATTTCTGGGACGCTGCGGACATGACGATCAATTCTTTTGTCGACATCCGAAGTTAATTGCGTTTTTTTGTTTTGAATTTGTTTGAGATACCGACGGATCCTTGACTGGATCAACGCTACTGTTCGCGGGGAGATCGTGAACGATCTTTCCATGTTCTTTTCGTCTGATTCATCGAGATGAAACACTAGAGCAGAGCGCGCAAAGACACCTCTCTTTGGACCAGCAATGAAATACTGTATCCCATCATAACTACCGTTGTGTCCTTGCTCTATCTCTTTGTCCATTTCAATACCAATCCAGTCACCTTGTCCCAGCTCTGTAGCTCCAATAAATTTGACGGTACCAACATAACCGCGCAAATGTACCCTGTCTCCAACTTTAAAACCTTTGGTGTCWCCWGGGCTTCTTGGKACTAAAAAAGGACTTATGTTCTTACCACTCGGCTGCAGTAATCTTGTCTCCAAGCTTGTTTGTTTCCATAGTTTTTGCTCTGTCTTTTTAGCCAATTGTTCCTTCAGGCTAACTGGCTCCGAGTTTGAAATTTTAAGATCTGTAGTTACGGTATTTCTTGAGCCTCCGCAACCCATTTCAATAAAGCAAATACATGCAAAAGCTTCCCGAAAGCGCCTTTCCCTTTTTTATAAGTCCAGTAATTATACAGCTCAAGTTCAAGTAGCCAACCAATATAAAAAGTCGATTACTTGCACATATTCGCCACCGACGTGAGTAAACACTCGCACAGACTTCGATCAAAGTTCTTGCCTAAGACGCTTTTTTCGTGAAAAATTGWCTTGAATTCTTTACGAACAGATTTKGASGAAGCCCAGGTATTATTTCGTTAATCAATGTTTCATTAAATCGCCAGTTATATGTCACTGAATTAAGTTGAAATCCATCCAACCTAACTAGTCAGCGTCAATTTTAGTTTGCGTTTCTCGATGAAGGCTTCASTCTGTGAAATCGCCTCAAAAAGTGAAAAACCAACCTTTAAGRTGCAAGTTTCTGGTTGACTATCCCTTTGAGTAAAATTTCTCGGTCGTTTTTCTTGATTCTATGAGGTCTTTTGACTTAAAATGTCGTACGCAGTTATTCTTTTCTTGAACATGATGAATTAAACCACATCAAAGATTCATTTCTTAACTACTTCTATTTGCATTACGTCTAAGAAATCAACGATTGTGATTGGCTGCCGATCACCTGTCACTAAGAACCTAACAATAYTTTTTTCAATAACATTTGAAGCAATATCCCCAAATTTTTATATCATATTCTTGACTTTCATCGGTCATTAGACAGCGACTCTCAAGAAAGTTCTGTAGCTGTTAAGCAAACAATTTACCTCGAGTTGCATCGAAGTCAAAGCCCCGCAGGCCTTTGTTTGTACGACGGTGTGAAACATTATTTATCAAAAAAGCGTTTCTAGGAAACGCATCGCGGCTTATGGAAGAACTTTTCTTCCGCAACAGCTAATTATTTTGAATTATTATGAAAAAAGGGTTTATGATTCGAAATTATGAAGAGATGCGAAATCGTACATTATATTACACGAGGTCAAAAGACATGAAGGTAGAAATTCATTTCATAGTATTGCCTAAGAGAAAAAAACTGATAAGAGGTACACATTGGAATCATTGACCTCTTTATTATCACCTTATATAATAAAAATACCCAACAATTACCGTTTTGGCTTTTATTCTGTTTTTCACACTTTCAACTCAAGCAGTAATGCCATGCACTCTCTAAGTCTTCAATTTTCAATCAAAAGATTTCAAGATCCTTTCTGTTTATACATCACAAAATGGATTTCCATGGCAACACAKACGTCATAATACAGTCTGCTTTAGTGAAAATGGACCATATTGTCAGTTCAGCTGGTTGTCATGCGAGTTTTTTCCAAAATATTTTGTGTGTTGTGGTATAATAAAACTGCTATCGAATTCTTTAATCAATTCTTTTTCCAAGAAGTTAAAAATCATCCATCTTAGCGACAAGACGTCGTAGAAAAAAAAGTACAAACTATACCTTTAATGAAAAAAGTTATTCGCCATCTAAAAACCAATTATTTCAATTGTAATCGAGTAACATCTGCTATCGTCTTTGCAATCTTCATTTAGAGGGAAAACAAGATTTATTGTACAAGAACATATTAGAGATGAACCCGAAAACGGAAATAAGAGAAGACACAATGATGATATCATAAGAACTGCTCTCAAGATCAATCATTGACAACGTTATATCGGCTAGCAGTTCTTTTCAAGAAATATCTCAACTTATTTGAATTAAAATCAAAAGTAAGAAATACAAATGCTTATTTAGTCTGACATTTCATGTCATCGCTTGAAAGATCAATAAAAATAAACAATACGGTGTAAATCTATTGGTTTGTTAGAAACAAAACAGACTGAAAATAGAACAGTGAAAAAAGAGCAATGTTTAATTAATGTTGTGGACGTTKATGCTTTGTTATGTTGCCCCTAGTAACCGATCAGGAATAACAGACCAGCTCAGAGCATGTCAGAGTCCAAGTATTTGCTGCAGCGAAAATCCTTTTCATAATCAATGTCTTCTTATTTGAAATTGGACTTGCCACAAATCGGACTCTCTTTGGACTCACAAAAAATAAAGTGGAAATTTCGAGAATCGAGAAAAATTTTAAAACATTAGTGTGTGGGGAGACAGTCCGGGGGCGAACTAAGGGACTTTATGAAAGCCTAGTTTTAAATTAACGTTTGTTTATAGAAATTATAATAAAAGATACAAAAAAATAATGTCTTTTGAATAAAACTGAACAGGGCTGTGTCATTCATTCAATTTAATTACAATTATTTTTTTAAGAAGCATAATTTAATAAATCTGTTTTCATAAGGTATTTTTTTGGTAAATTAAGTCTATCATTATCACAAATTACCTTCATTAAAAGGTGATAAAACCTTTTTCTGTATTATACAAAAATCCTATATTACAATATATATAACATTCCCCTTCAATGTGGTACCTCCAGTGTGAATCCAATTRAAGGGCGTGGCAACACGTGTATTACTAATTCAGACATTTTCTGGCGACGTGAATCCCATGGCTGTTGCTATAGCAGCCGCTGCTTTACCACTACTCTGTTCAYCGCCGTCTTTCTGAAATTAAAAATAAAATAAAAAATAAAAATACAACACGAGTTAGGAAATTATCGTTTAAGCATTATTTTTTGTTTCGCTTGTTGGGCTACCTGTGGAGATAGCTAATGCCGAGATATACAGTGAATCTAATTCTGCTTACCATAAGTTCAAGAACCAACAAATCACTGATTTTCTTAACCTCTTTTTGCTTAGCCAGAAGGTCATTTTGTCGTCTGAAAATTAGACATTAAATAGTCAGGAATCGTTTAATTGTTGTGGGCAATTTTATGGAATACTGTTATAAAAGTGGACAACGATTTCAGGGAAAGCTTCSTCTCATCGTTTTGCTGTAGAGAATTTGACGTCCACCAAAGGGTTCAACAGCAGGTAACTTGCCATTGATGCAATCCTCGAGTAAAACAGCACGGTTCTACAGTCAACTCTCGCTATTACGGACACCCTCGGTTACTTTCAGTCATTTCTTTGTCGGGGATTCAGGATTTTATTGTCCGCAATATCGAGGTGTCCGTTTTAGCGGGGTGTCCGTAAGGCGAGAGTTGACTGTAAAACGTACCTGATGTAATCTTGATATCCTTGTTTGTGCTTTTTAGCAAACATCGATCGTTTTTTCAGGTCATCTTCGTGCAGCCTGCAAAAAGATCAGAAACATACTTAGTATATTACCATTACTAACGTTGTAAAAAGGTTGTTGTTAATAATTTGTACAAGCTGTGTTTTTGAACCCTACAGCAAACTTACCTTCTGAAATTCGAGCCCATTTCTTTAGAAACTTTTAGGGATTTTTTAATCAATTCTTGGTATGTTTCRGCATCGAGACTTTTMRTCAAATCAAGGAATAACACGACGCTTAATTAGMCTCATTCACTATGACGTCACAACTGGTTTACATGGGGRACAGAATTACTCACTAGTTTTTACTTTGCAAATGAATGATTTCCTGACGATATGCATGGTATCACTTCATACCAAAATGTCAAAGTTAAAGGATACGGTGGTAGTTTCTTGATTTCTGTTCTCTGGACCAGAATGGCTGTCCCAGCGTCCTTAGCAAGCCTCTGCTGGTTTAAAAACTGYTCCACTAAAGGACTGTGTCCATAAACATCGAAAACTGAGCGACTAAACTCTGGTCCCTTACCTACAGGACAAGACTGCAACAAAAAATATGAATTATATATTATTGTAACAGAAATTTGCCCATTAAAAAAAACATCCACAATTATTCGAATGCTTCCAAGTCCCTAAAACACCTTTAGCACTTAATTTACTCACCTCACTTGTTCTTTTCCTGCTTCTATATCGATTATTAAATACAGATGATTCTTTCATTGTTAATCTTGATGCTGTGAGAGTGACAGGTTCGTCAAAGTTCTCTGACAKCTTCCCACTTAACTCAGATTTCTCATCATTTGGTACTGACAAATACGATGAGCTTTCCTTGTTGACAAGCTTTGTACTATATGGCAAGAGAAGAATATACAATATGTAGTTCACTAGAAACAGTACATGCTTTTATAGCAGGAGGTTTCTGTGATAAAATAAATTATCAATAAGTTTTACCTGCTGTGATATTTTGGTGTAATGGATTTATGTCGCAAGTCTCGTCTATTGCCAGTGCCTGCTTTGTCTTCTGTGACAAGAGGAAGAGGTCTTTGAAAGCCTTTAGACATACTTGATTGTCTGTTTAAGTTTTCTTCTGTAAGATCCRCTGGTAAATGAACTAAAGAGTGAGACAAAAGCAAGGTTTTAAAATGAAACTGCAGTTTAAATTTTAACAAATGCTTTTTATCTAGTAATGTTTACTTCAAGATAACATAAAGTATGAAATAGCTTTCGTTATGGTACATATCATACGGGTGCAAACAATGTACTTGTGAAATAGTGATAATTACTGCTGCTGGATATTGCTGATAGTGTGAAAACAAAAGAATTATTACTATTTTGAGAGCCATCTATTTCAGAAATATATTGCTTTCACTCTAACAATAAATGATTGCATTTTTAAGGGTAATATTTTACCTTTAGAAGCATCTTTCTTGATCTTTTCATCTTTCCTCATGTCTGGTGGTTCTAATCGATCTAATTTCCATTTGTCCCATAAATGAGGCACAGGTTTGACACCTATAAGACACATAACTGTATTAATCAATCACTCACTCACCTAGAGATCAATCCATCAATCAATCAATCAATCAATTAATCAAATAATCACCAATCTATCAATCAACCCACCAACTACATTTTGTAAAGATCCATCAATCATTGCAGTAATCAACAGGTCCTACTACTACATACCAACCATCCACTGATAGACAAGTTGCACTAATTGTTCTTTGAAAGTTGCATCAAACTGTTTGTAAGATGTTGGGAAGGCTGAACAAAATATACTGTACACTGCTTGRGTCACTAAGTTAGGAAAACGCTGAAACAAACAGTCAAATTATTGCACGTCAATCAAAGTTGTGCATACAAAACAATCATTTCTCAATAAWTTATTTTTTTCTGTTTCCAAGATTTGACTGTTATTGTATTAAATGTACCTTRAAAAAAGTATCTCTGTATTCATTGATTGGAGCCCTGAACAGAAGCTTGACATAATTATGCGCTATTCTGTTGAACATTAATTCTTGGATTCTTTTATTTTGCTGYCAAATCAACATTTATTAATTAACATTATTTTAATCAATACTCATTGCACCATGATGACATTAAAACGCAAAATTATGAAAGAAAAAACTATTATTCACCTGATATTTGTCTAGAAAATACCACCAGAATATATCCTGTGCAAAATATAAATATCAGATATTATTAATAAGTGATGTGGTGGTTTAGTAGTGGATTGGATTCATGAAAACAACAAAATAGTAACATTATTTGTTTTTTTTTTAAATAATGAACTATTACCTGTATGACTGCCTCTGACATCTTGGATGTTAGCAATGCAACAAGGTACTTCTGAAACTTGATCTTGAGGAAAACATAACAAATAAGTTGAAATTTATTTACAAAGATRTAAAAATAGAAACATAGTGGTATAAAACATTCTTGAACAACATTCATCATCATGTGTAAAGAGAGAGATATACCACAGTAGCTGTGATCTTTTCGTAGTCTATTATAGCTATATTAAAATGCTTGATCACATGATAACCATACATTTTCTCACCTTTCTTCTCAAGTCAACCTGTGCACTTAGGACTTTCTCAAGGATGACTTTGACAACCAAAGGTGAAGGGAGAGGTGTTAGTTCATCTTGTTCATAACCAGGAAATACATGAAGCTGAAAACAAAAGAGAGATTGCAACCAAAACAAACAGAATTGATGAATAATATAAGTTCTAGTTGACAGACAACAATATTGTCCTACTAATAGGGAAGACTTAGACATGCGCACTTGCTCTGACATGGAACCTTTTAACCCACAAAACACATCATAGTTAGGTAGGTTTTGCATATTTGATCATAAGTACACTTACCTCAACCAGCATTGGTTTCATSCCCTTACTCTTTTCAGCTTTCTTTAAAAAATAATATAATATTAAAATTATTGTTTTAATCAATAGTGTCATAAATAATTATAGTGAGAAGTGGAGAAGCACGTTAAAGGCCTTATGCACCACTTGGTGTGAAACAGCGATGATGATGATAATTATATTAGGCATTGTTAACATGAGTTAAATCGTTACCTTTGTATTTGTTGATGCTTTCCATTTCATACCAAGATTCTTCTCAAAGGGATTACCGCTTGAAGGCTGGAGAGCTAACAGAAATCTTTCGGTTTTAAATCTTTTAATTTGTATGCCAATGACAATGGTTAGAAACCCACAGTAAATGCATTTTTTTTTTTGGATAAATACAATGATCACAAAATTGTCTTACTAGCTTTTTTACCTGTTCTGACTGAAAACATCCCTGCAAATTTCTTCAGCTCTTTTGCTTCTTGTTCTGATGAAAACAATTATTTTTAGAAGTCAAATAAAGTTAATGATAATAATGGCTGTTTATGAAATAATAGTGATGGCAATGATATCATATAATGGTGATGATGGTGATGTCATAATGATGGTCATGTTATGATGATGTCATGATTATGGAAATTATGTCATGATGATGTCATAATGGTGGTGATTATGATGCCATGATGATGTCATAATGATGGTGATGTTATGATGATGTCATGATTATGGAAATTATGTCATGATGATGTCATAATGGTGGTGATTATGATGCCATGATGATGTCATAATGATGGTGATTTTATGATAATCATAGTAGCTTTAATAATATAATTATTACTAATTATAAGCAATGACAATCAGGCTTTTGTTAAAGATATTGACAGCAGCAATGTGATTACGTCAAGGTAACAATATTTTAATATATATAAAATACCTTTATCACTAATGATCCTATCCCTAGAGACAGGTTTTGGTGGCTTGTAGTCAATCATTAGTTTGCCATAACCAAATTCCTCATCTTCCTCTTCTTCATACTGCAGTCCTTTTTCCTTCAAGTATTTGTCTATTACAAGCTGTGACTGTGTATTACTGTCATGTAGTGATGTGTCTAGCACACTAATCTGTCTTGTGATATCATCAATAGTGCCTCCTTGATGGAATGAAGCATGACGCTCAACTTATATCAATGTCAAGGTTTTAAATTATTTATAATTCAACACTTAAACATAACAGCTGTTAATATTGCTGCTGTTGTTATCAATACCTTAGTAACTAAATAAAAACAATCTAATCAATGTAAATTATTAATACTATATATGTACATTCATGCTGACAGTTTGAAAGCTACATTACAGCTACTTTGGGAGCCCTAATTTGTTGACTTTCAGCTGTTGTTTAAGTCAAATTTCTTCTAATAATTCTATATTTTACCTGAATTGACTTCATGCATCATGACATCTTACACACAGCAGGCCTACAGTTTTAGCCAAGCAAATTTTATTAGAACTAATTGTATCATTGTGACGTGTCTGATCGTCTTAGCAACAGCCCTGTAGGAAAGGATACGATCACTGGTAACTTTATCTCCTTCTGCAACCATGTGAACAACCGGAGACGTACTCCTTGAAGGCTCCATTGCTGTAGATACGTTTTTATAGATAGTTTTTGTTTAGTTAGATGGGTTTTAGAATAAATTTCTCTTGTAGACTTCCCGCCATGTTTTGTTGTCACGCTCTKCAGTCCCATAATGCATAGGGAGCTCAAAAGAGCAAATGATGGGATTCCTGTGGTGAAAATTCAATATGGTGRACAGAAATAACACTTTTCTGCAAGTTTRACAGAAAATGGAGTTTTCTGTYATCAAAACGAATGGAGCAACACCTGCAAAGCGTGCATACCATTCTTGCTCAGCTGTTGGAAATGCTTTGTTCGTATTCGGTGGAATTGGCGAGGATAAACATGTTTTGAATGATTTGGATAGGTATGATATCGAGTCAAACTCCTGGTCAAAAATTGACAGCGCTCAACCTTCGTCTTTTACAACACCTCAGGKCTCTCGGAGTTTTTCCAAAGGAAATSTCTGTGTAGCTCCATCATTAAGTCATCATACAGCTACGGTTGTRAAAGATCGCTATATATTTATTATAGGTGGCTGGAACGGYAAGAAAAGAGTTTYCGAGGTCTACTGTTTTGACGTCACGGATTCAACTTGGCGACGCATCCCAGAAAGTGGGGACGTCCCAGTTGGATTGAGCTCACATACCGCAACTCTTTTATCATCTAAAGATATCCTCATCGTAGGAAGGGAGGGAGGTGTGCGTACGCAAAGRCGWTTTTCAGGTGCATTTAACTTAAACATAGAAACAGGACGYTACACAGAAGCACCCTTTCACACTGCGTCTCGTTCAGGGCACACTTCCAACCTCATCCACGTGAGAAACAGTAAAGAATTGTATTTATTAGTSTTTGGAGGACGTAAAAGTGGTAGTTACGAACTATTAGGGCGATGGAATCATAAGGAAAARCATCACCAAATAATCTCTATTTCCAAGGGTGAAAAACTGTTAGTCAACTGTACGTCTTGTAGCGATGAGCCTGATGGACGACAGCACTGTCARTGCRTTGAGATAGGYAATAGATATTTGATGTTCTTTGGAGGTGAAAAGTGGAGTGGTGTACGAGAAAACGTTACCAACGAGGCCTACRTACTAGATACTCATAAAATGACCTGGCACACTGTACCAGTAAACGAGAATATTCCAAAGCTTGTTGGACATACAATGTGTGCAGTGGGAGACAAAATACTGGTGTTTGGAGGGAATTTTCWAAACAAACCCTGTAATACCTTATGGCTTGTGGACTTCATATAGCTGTAGGGTTAGTTTGAATTACAAAAACACTGATCTTCTAAATAGAAGGAAAGTCATAAATTTTATGATTCAAAGGTTATTATAAATAAAAAAAYTCTGGATCCAAATAATATTGTGTAATGTTTTGTTATCTATCCGTAGATGTACCTTGTTTGTACGAGCATAAAAAATCATAGTGCGCTCTTGGTTTTTAGCTAGTGACCAAACTTGACTCAGACATGCATCAATAACTGGATTTTATTACTAATAACAGTTTGTATGAAGTTCTTCAACCTATTTATTGCTTCTATACTATTTTCCGTAATGTTTAAAAGTAGCAATGTTAAGATAATGATGACAATGATACTGAAAATTCAAATAYGTTTGCAGTGATGGTGATAAAGTCAAGAAAATGTTAACAGTGCTGGTACCAAGGACAGTAGCAACTTAGAAAAAAACAACTTAAAAATCATTCTATACTTGTCCAATACATACATTATTAAATATATATTACAATAAACACAATATATATTATATTTTCTGAATCTACAATTTAAATCAATTTTGTTTACAACTGAATGGCAAGACCAAGTCTTTCCAGACACATTCCTGAAAGTTTAATTTGCTCTTTGAGCACCCTGATTAGTCATACATCATCTTGTCTTCTTTGRCAGAGACTTTACACTTGTTTTAGGTCTTAAAGCTGAAATCAAAAAGTAGATAAAGTAAGATTTTTATGAATAAATTGAAAGAAATGCAATAGGTACGATACCTGGATCAGCAGTTTTACCAGCAGACTTTGGGTCTGCATAACGAGTTACAACATGTTTGTCATTTGTGAGCTGCACATCTTGTTCCATGTCAATAGAACTAAACAAATTAAAAAAATTGTCAAATATCACATTGTATATCTGGAAAGCAATGGAGCTGCTCCGTAAGGTAAATCTCTATCATGATTTGGAGATGTTATCTATCATATCTATCATGATTTGGAGATGTTATCTATCATTGACCAAGTCCTTAGAAGGATGAAATTTGAATCTGGCTTACCGTACAACATTCTTTCTTTCGGCCATTGCTATTTGCTCCCTGTCAGTAAAGAGTACAGTGTGATGAGGTACAGGTATTTCAAGACCAGGTAGAATGGCACTTCCAGTCATAACTTGCGGCAAGATACCATGGTATACCAGGAGATCGTCTACTAGTAACTAAGACAAGACATTTTTTGTTATTCAATCACCAACTTACTAACTGATGAAAACATAGACCCTTGATTACCTACCACAAACTGCTGCACCCCCCTGATGGGAGTCTTGCTGTAGTTCCARATCTTAACCATTGAAACCGTAACAGGCTCATCAAAAATCACAAAAATTAAATTTTTCTGAAAGAAGAGAAAAATCTCTTACAATAATGTGAAGTTATTAAAGGTTGTTYGTATGAATCCTTTACCTGTCCTGGACATATTGGGGCAAGCCACATGTGTCGGCCATCATTGGTGTCATTTACACCATCAATCAGTTTATCAGGGGTTCTGATGTCATCTGTCACGCCATCCAGTACATTCACACTATGTGGGTAAGCTGTTATGTTGTTTTCAGTAAGGTGAATTCTGTAACCATCTTCATCATAAAACTGCAGTCCATTCAGACCAATGTAGTATGGGTCWCCCCAGCTAGACAACAGCTGGAATTGGAAAACRACTGAGYATYKTATTAAGGATTYAAAGCAAAAAATGAAGCCTTGACTTCAATCATAGAATTGTCGACTAATACCATTAGATAACTGGCAGTGATGCAGAGAAAACCTGTATAAACACCRGGATATATAAAGTAAAATAGCTGATACTTGATAAGTAAAACTACAATAACAAAATTCAAGGATACATCCTGTTGGCATAAGTGTTGGTTCATAGTCTGGTATCAGCTTCTTGATATTCACTCTGCTCTCAGGTCTACAAAAACATATATTTSACAATTTACACATAAAAACTATTTTGTCTGCCACATGTACTCATTGATAAATCTTTCTTTCAAACCCATACATTCTATATTCTCATTTCCAATTCAATTGAGAAAGAACAACTATAAATTTCCAACAAAACCATTGACATCTGCTTGAAGTCTTAGAGATTCATATCTATTTAAAGCTAACATGTGGAGCGACAGTTACATACCTTCTACTGGGTTCATTGTCTGCTTTAGCAGTCAACRCATGACGTAAAGAAGGAGCTGCTGACTTGACAAAATAAATGTCTTGTGCAAAATCAAAATACATGTTTCCTGGGCCTACA